TTTTGTCCGTTTACTTATGAATCAATTTTCCGTGAATATTACTTTAGCTTGAAAAAAAAAAAGAAACGCCTTCGAGCATATTATGAACAGTGCCGCTGCGCCTTGTCAGCGCGAGTACACACACACTGCAGCATCGTGTGCTTCACGCCGTCGTTTTTGGCCGTCGTTTGTTCTCTCTCTTCCTCTTTTTCACTCGGTGGGGCACGTACATACACACAGAGTGTAAATAGGAACTACGTCGACGAGAGCAACGACGACGACGACGACGACGAGAGCTCGCACAAAAGCGTTAGCCCGGGTACACTCGGTGATTATTTTATACTCCGATCGCTCATTTTCGCTGTATGCGCCAGTGCCAGAGCACGCGGGCAAGGGCCTCGCTCTCCTCCCGTATAGTAGTACTATATACACTGCACGCTCGCTCGTGAAAGGCATTTCTTTTTATCACGCTTATTCGCTTGTACATTCAGCGTTTGCAGCCCGACTCTCTTTCTCTCTTTCTCTCTCTCTCTCGAGGTCGTAACGGGATTTCGCCTGATTGTGTTGCGAGCGAGAGCGGTATGCTTATATGCGCCGCTGTGTGCCAAGTCTTCTGTGTGATGGGCTCTAATGACTACGGTCTGCTGTTGGCTGCTGCTGTTGCTTTGCTTTGCTCGCGCGCGCTCGCGCCCAGTGCAATAAAAATTACGTGCCAATATAGATGCACGCGCGGATTACAACGAAAAAAGGCAAAAAAAAGTAAATCTTTGACAGTTAGGGCAGCGTATCGTAATTAAATGCCGGCCGCGCAGTGTATATTGTCAGGAATGGCGTATCACCCAGCGATCGTATTGCAATCACGAATTCCAAACTCTCGCGATGATACATTGTTATGTATTTGCGCGCGGAACGTAAAACCATCAATTTCGTTAAAATTGTTTGTATCTGAAGCCGTATAAATACATATAACATGCAGCGGCACGGATCGCTTGCCAACTGCAAATATTATATAGTTGCTTTAGTTGCGCGCTCAGGAGAGAGAGACTAGATCGAATGTCCCTTTATCCGCGCGTTGACTTTGTCAATACAGAAATATTACATGCGATTTAGCAAGAAGTCAACCAACATCTGGAGACTTACACAAGAATTGTGATATGTATTGTTTTAAAGGTTTTATTATATTTAAAATATATATTTATCTTTTTTTGATGCTATGTAACGTTTTTTTTTTATATATCGTTGGACGTTGATCTAGTACTCAATTTCTTTTAGTTTTGTCGTATCACTCCGCGCAGTCGCACCCAATCCCAACTTATGCAGAAACAGCCCATTTGCAATGTATCTTTAATCCAGATGCTAGTAATGATCCCGGATAAAGTTTATGAATCCATTGATAAAATGGAAAAGAAAAAATGAACTCACCGGCACCTTATATGTAGATCACAGTTATACAAAACAGTAATAAAAATATATACTATAGTGAAATTGAAAAAGTTCAAACAATCGCAAAAAGCGTTAATACTCGATAAAAAGTTGAATATTCGAAAAATCGGATACTCGCAAACCTTTAGCTGAAGCAATATGAATTTTTCGGTGATGAAAGTCTGGATCGATCTTGATTCGATTTGAACTTCGGGCAATTTACGGTAAAAAAGATCCCCGAAACTTTTTTCCTAAAATCTTTCTAGGCTCAGCTTGAAATTTTTCAAAATAATGATAATGATAAAATAAATAATACCAATAAATTTAAGAAACAGGATCATAGATGGTTTTAAAATTTTGTAACAAAATTTCGATACATGTATGAAATCAAAGCAAAGTTTTTCAAGTCAGCAGAAAAAAATATTTTACAGTCGCGTTACGTAGTCGTTATGTGTCGCTCAAATAAACTGTCTCCACACTCTTTAGCTTCTTACGAAAATTCAGCGCATTATCTTTCCTCCAAAGTAGTATTTAGATATCATCGCTGCGAAGAGCCGAATTAATCACACGGAAAAAGGCTCCATCTTCGCGATAAGACGCGCGTATACGAGCGCACGAGCTGCGCGAGATGTTTATCGCTTGCCCGCGAGAATGCACTGCGGGAATACACACACACGCGTACTACTTTACTCCGCGATGCGCTGCGTGATCCGTTTATGCATCGTTTAATGATTAACAATGCAACGCTCTTGCGCACACACACTCTTACACGCACCCGGCCATAAGTCTCGAGATTTTATTGCGCGCGTAATATGCATTCGCGCGTATTGTGCAGTATACAGTACTATATATCCCGCGCTCGTGCGCGCATACATAAGAAAATACTCCATGTTTGTCTTTGATCGCTTTTAATGCAGGTCTGTAACCGCGTGTAGTGTGTTTACGCGTTTGTACAGAGGCATGCGCGGCGCATTACGCATCGCGATCAGGCCAACGAGTATAAACACTTATATACCACTTTATTAAGTATTTACGTACGATTATTTCGTATTGATGCTGGAGTACTGAGCCGCGCGAGTGCTAATGTAAGCTTAATTGATTATATCGAAGTATGCATATATGTTAACATAATCACGCTTAAATGCCTGCGCGGTCGTCCGTTTCTTACATGTACACGTGTACGTGTCTCGTATAGGTGTGTGCAAGAACACACCGGCTTACTCACTCGCTTTATTATATACACACACGTATACATAGCAATGCCGCATATGTTTCGTAAAGTCTGACAAATTATTTAACAGCGTAGGTGACATAATTGCTTTCTCATGCATACTTCATTTTATGCATGGTTTTCATGTATGTATACAAACGTTCGTATATGTATAGCTGTACACACACACAACCAAACACACAAATGCCTCTATACACGTATGCTCTTCTTATACAAACGTGTGCAGGCGGCGGCCACTGCCGACGCTGTACGTCGTACTATATCATTTTTCATTACGTACATAATAGAGTATGCGCGCAATATAAAACAAGCGCTGCGCGAGTGCAAAAGCGCGATAGTTTACCAAATGACTTTTGCCTTTTTTTTACTGTGTGTGCCTCTCTCTCTCTATCGTGTATTATACTTCCACCAGCAGCAGCCAGTGCGAACTGAAGCGCGCGCAAAAACAACGTAACGAAAATATGGCAGTGCGAGCTCGCGGTGCAAACTAAAAATAACCCCCTCTATTGTTGTGTGTATGTGTGTGTTTTTGTGCTCTCGCATAGAGTGCATTTTTGCGCTATTTACGAAGAAAACGTACTACGCGACTGCACTTCGCACTTCGTTTACACCTATATACTATACGTATATGGCGAATTAAAAAAAATTGCCCGTGATGTGTACTCACTCTTTCTTTCGCTCTCATTCTCTCACTCTCTCCCTCGAAAGAGAGAGAGAGAGAGAGCACGAATTGTTGAAAGCACCGGTGCTACTTGTGCGTATCAATTATACGTTAATTAATGCTCGGAGCTCGCACCATTCTACAGAAGAGCCGGGTAGTAAGAACAATCGTCTCGTCGATTGTGATTTTATGATCCTTCTTTCGCGCGTAGTTTCGCCTCTGCTACTTGCTGCTATACTTATTTCACTCTTTTCTTTTTCTTATTTTTCTTTTTCTTACTTTCTGCCACGCGACTGCCGTGGATACATAAATTATAAGACGACAATTACTTGTAGTGCACAAGGCGCGAGCCAATCGATAAACAAGCAAGGTTATAAGACATCCAAGTTATTTATAAACATAATATTTCGAAAAATTCACTTGCTCGTAGCCGAGGATCAAGCTTTATAATATAATACAAGAGGAATGCACACGCGTCGTTACGGCGCTAACGCAATGCAAAAAATAAAAATGAATAAAACGTTCGATGCGTCGAAAGGATTAATTTATCTTTCGCGCTTCGATGTGCTGGCGCGCGCTGGGGGTTAAAGCTGCCACGCGGAAAACAATTTATAATCCTTTATATATATATCCGAGCCCTCGGGTCCTCTCGTGACGATCGGATCAATGAAGATCTCAAGGTGTCGAAAGTAATAACATCACAATTCGCCGCTGCACGCCTCTACTCGTGGCCTCTCTCTGTATTTCCTCTTTCTCTCTCTCATCTCTTTTTCTCATGCTCTCTTTATACACACACAGCTGACTATGCGTGTCCCTAAACGTCAAGGTTATTTCAACGTAAATAACAGTACGCGAATTAGAAACATCGATAAGTCCCTCGCAGCGCACAGCAAATTCGTTCCTTTATTCGTCGCGATTACATAGTGACTCCAAAAGCAATTAAAACGCGAGGAATTTAATCACGGGAATTTGCTCTCGGGGGACACGCGTTGTGCATTCGCGAACATCGTGCACGAGAGGAGTAGCAGTCGTGCATGTGTGTATGTGTGTGTGGGTCGTGTGTGCATGCGGCGGCAGTGACTCGCACGAAAAAGAGAGAAAAGAGAACGTCATCGCGCGCAGGACGGGAAGAAGCGAAGTTTAAAGGAAAAAGAGAGGTATACGATACGGTATGTACGTATATTACACGTGAGGCCGTGTTTAACGTATATGTGCAAGTATGTGTGTGTGTGTGTATATATAAATTGAATAGCCGTGAGGCTTTTGACCGAGAGAAAGTCCAGTGCGCACAAACACACGGGGGAACTTGGGTCGAAAATTTTATTTTACAAAGCCCGACTCCAAAACGGACTGGCAGCAGCAGCGGCAGCCAGCAACGTATGGCGCATTAACTGTGTATAAATATGCCAGGCAACAATACAGATACAAACGAGAATCTGTGTCACGAAAGCTTGATTTTATATATGCGAGCTGCGGAGCTGCCGAGCGACGGCCGTGAATGAACGCCGCGCGTATCTCTCGTCTCGCGCTGTGCGTGTGTATGTGTGTGTGTGTGTGTGTGTGTGTGTGTGCGGAAAAAGGGGGGGGGGAATGGGGGGGGGGGGGAAGCTATCACTCGCAATTATCGTATAAACCATCGATGTACTTGATATATATTTGTGATATGTATATTTTTCAACGTATCTCGTTTTGTTTTTCTTGTTACAGGATACTATCAGCCGGCTGGTCCGTTGATACAGCATCCACCACAGTTACCTCCTGTCAAAGGACCACCGCCCGACTCGACGCCGACGCCGCCTCAAAATTCCGAGGGCTCGGACGATCATGTAGGGACATCGACGACATCCGGAGGTACTAGTAGTACCGGTGCGTGTAAACCTGTCGCTTTTTTTTTTTTTTATTTTTTTTTATTCTCATGCGTAGACATTCATCAAATACCTGAAATATTCATGCAATACATATACCTGCGAACGATGTGTCGCGTATGGGTGAAAAATTTGAGCTACATACATGCGCAAAACAGTATATATCAACGGAGACTCGCACACTTGCTCGCGAGTTTCATGCGAAGAGAATTGTTATCCCGTATTCCGGATCATAAATTCAGAGCTATACTCTTCGAGATGTCAATAGATCGTAAATAATAGACGTGACAAATTTTAACAACGAACAAAAAAAAATTGATAAAGCTGCCAATATCGTCCAATAATTGAAGGTTCGGATTTTTTTTATTATTGAACGGTGCATCGATCGACGAATTATTTCGCGTTTTGAAGTATTGTACAAGTTTTTTTACGATCGATTATTTCCGATGGCAAACAATGTAAGAGTGGTGATGGTAATTAAGCATGACTCTTGAACGTATCAAACAGAAGCTGGCTTTCAAATGTAATGACTTAAATGGCTTTTCAGAGAGTTTCGTAAATTAATTACTACAATTTGTGCGTTGATGATTCATATAATTTTTTGAAGGAGATTTGAAGTTGGGCTAAATTGATTCCGAAAGCATTTTTTGAGATATCCACTGAATAGTTTTCTCAAGAGCTATGTGGTCGTCTTGCTTTCAAAATATTCCAGTAATTTTTCCAAAAAAATCAAGTGGAAATCGCAAAAAACGACTCGTGCTCAGCAAAAAATGAATTGCTAATTTAAATTTAAAAAGTATGTCGTTTTTATTAAATAACTTATGGTATTAAGTAAATTTTCTTATGGTACAATCACAGAAATTAAATAATAATTTCTTCCTTACATTAAGGATGACGAGAATATGATTACATTAACAATGCTGCACTCGAAAAGTCGGTATTAGTATAAAACTCTCGCGTTTAAATGAATACAGTAATTATCGGCCTCGGCACCTTGTCATTATATGTGAACTTAACTATACATAAACGAAATGATTAATGTGCTCGACGAGCGTAAGGCGTGCTGAATGTACAAGATTTCTCTAAAGCAGCTTCAACCGAATCACAGCTGCCGCCTCTCGTTGAGATCTTCTCGGCGTTGTTGCCACCATTTTGACTCGTTCCTCTCGACTTTCATCTGATTCTTACAAAGCTATATTTACAATTGTTTCTTACACAGCTACATACAACTAATTTACAGTTTTTTCGAGAATCTTATCGATTAGCGTATCTGATAGTGTGCATGAGGCCGCCTACGAACGTGTGCAATTCGTGGCTGGCCGTGATTTGATCCAATAAATTTCGATCGACACAGTCCCCTCGCTGCATCGCGGCTACGTAGGGCTCCAGCAGCACCTTGCAGCAGTCGAAGTCCCTCCTCTCCCAGGCGTAATGAAGCGCGGTTTTGCCGTCCAGCGCCGGAATGGTGACGTCGCATCCCTTGGCCAGCAGATACCGCAGCACCTCGAACCTCTTCGCTTCTGTCTTGTCCTCCTCGTCGATCCGGGTGATCAGCGCCGTCGTGTCCTCGTATCGATTTGCCACGATGTGCAGCAGAGTCCACTGCCTCGTTCGGGTGGCAATGTTGATCGATACCCCTCTTGAAATCAGCAAGTCGACACCGTAAAGATCTTTGCTCAACAGAGCCATGTGCAGCGGATGGAGATCGAAGAAGCCACTGCTGTGGCTCTCGGGCTGAGTGGCGAGATCCACGAAGTAGTAATAATACAACTTTATTTGTTCCGAGACGTTGTGCTTGATGCACAAATTGATTATGAAAGGATCGACTCGTGCTCCGTATTTTATCAATAAATTGATTAACGATTCGTCTTGCTTCTGAAACGCAAGGTGCATCGGTCCAATGTGGAATAAATTTAGCAAGTTTGGGTTCGCTTTTTTCTTCAGCATCTCCTCGATGATATGTACCTCTTCTTTCTCCTTAAAAACACAAATGGCCAAGTGTAGAATCGAAACTTGATCCTTATTCGTTCTGTGTTTGCCTATAAATTTTACGATGTGGTTCAAGTCGACATCTTCTTTCAATAACTCCAGGGTTTCTTGGTGATTTTTGTCGAAAACGGCCTTCATTAAATAATCTTCCATTGTTACTACATATTTTGGATACTTAACAGCGCGTTTACTTTTTTCTTGTTCTCGTCTGATTTTTTCTTGTTCGCGTTTGAGTTTTTCTCGTTCGCGCTGTTTAACTCTTTGTTCTTCGCGTTTAATTCTGTCTTCTTGGCGTTTATTTTTTTCTACACGCTTGGTCTTTTTGGCTTTGCCCATTTTCGCACTTTCACTTGTTCTTCACTCGCACAAAATAAAGTACACCGAAACCCTTGTCGAAATTCACTGCTCACTCATACGCCGTGTGCAACAGCATCATCGTTGAACTGCGTGCACTCATGATAAACGAAAAAAAATTATTTGTTTCGTAGCTCTCACTAGTGTTCACCGTTCGACTGTATAACACATCCACGTACTCATGTGTATCGTCTATCTCCGATGGGAGTATATAACTGCGCGCTTGTGTTCGTGTATCTAGCTGTGTTGGCTCGAACGATTTTTCTAACGAAATTTTCAAATTTGAAATTGGTGGGGGAGAACATACACAAGAGAAAGTAGGCTTGCTCGGCGTCTTTTATCGACATTTTTGGTAGCTCAAATGTACTTAATAATAGAAGCGTGAACGGTGTATCTTTATCTACAAGATCTTGTGAAAATTTGATCCAAAATCTAATTTTTAGTATAAACAATTATTTTAGAACTAAGTTATTTATTGTTACTAAAAATAATGAAAACCATTTGGTATTACTCGGGTTTTTAATTATTCAATAATTATACAGCGATGAAATTCTTTCTCTTAATTGTAAAAAATTGTTCATGAATTGTAACTGTATAATTATTATTAAACTAATTTGTTAAAACGTACGGCTCAAAATGCATTTGGATTTCGACAAATTAAATTATCTACTCATATAAAATTATAATTGCTCTTCGCGGATGTACCTTGAACAGCTAGAGTTAGTTTTTTGTTACCAAAGATCATTAAATTATCCTTGACTTTAAATTTTATAAAAATGTGTCGAGGCTTGAATTTATTAGTACGTGGCGAAACTTTTCTCTTACCGCCCATCCAGTATAGTCTTAATGAGAATAATTTTTTTATACGAAGAAAGTAGATGTGACCCATTTTTCTGTCGGACAATAAAAAGTTTCAATTTAAAATTTGAATGATTTTTTTGAAATCATCAAGTTTCATATCTGTCAAGTTTTGACAATGCTACATAAGTCACTCCTTTTAACTAAAGTGTAGTACTGTAAGCCACGTTAACTGCTCAATAACAATGGACCTTTATTTTTGCAGGAAGCTTTTACCGCACATACTGCCCACAGTATTACAGTACACCGCCACAGTACCAAGAGCTCTGCTACCCGCCGTCGTATCCTCCTCACACACATCCTCATCCTCCGCCTTACTACAAGTATGCTCCGCCCTATCGAAGGTAAGTCTGCGCTATTTCAAAATCTAAAAATGTTGCGCGACATTGATCGATTGTATATGTTACTATCGTGTTGCAGGGGCTACTACGGCTATCAGGAACCGGGAGCCGGGCCCGGCGGTCCAGGAGCCTCGGGCGCCGTCGAGTACCAGCCGCCGCCCGGCGAGTATCTGTATTACGGCGGATATCCACCACCGCCACCTCCGCCGCCACTGCCGAATCCGGCTTACATGCCAGGACGCCCGTTCGTTGACCGTACGTTTCCATGAGAGGCCCGCATGAGTCCAGTATTTTGACCAAAGAGATTTTTCCGACAAAGTGTCTGACTCTTGTCGCGCTCTCTCGCTTTTTCCACAGATACGTTCCAGGGCTGTCCTTGTCCCATGCAGTCGTGTCCAAAAAACGCGGATACTGGGCCCCTTATTGGTAATGGTAAGGGAGCGCCAGTAGCACAGCAGGGGCCCGGTCTGTCATTGCCACCCAGCGCCTTGGTGGGGCCGCCATCGCCGGCACGGGGTCTAGCCGGGCTAGCACCCCCTCACGGAGCCAACGCCTGGGACACGGACCGGCTTCAAAAGCAGCATAACAGCGGATCCGCTGGTAGCGGCAGCCACACTGCCACTGCCCGCAGCAGTAGCCATCAGCAGCAACAGCAGCAGCAACAGCAACAGTTGCAGCTCCAGCTACAGCAGGATCACCAACAACAGCAGCAGCAACAGCAACAAAAATTGCAATTATTACAGCAGAAAAAGCAACAGCAGCACGTCTCCGCGGCGTCGTCTTTCTCGACCATCGATTATTCCAAGTCCATGACTACCACGACGACGTTGACGTCGACGATATCGGCAGCCGCCGCGACCGCTGCCACTTCGAGGACAGTCAAGACCGCCGAGTGCGAGGTTTGTATATTATCCTGCCTTTGTTTCCATACTTTAACTTATATATATATCATTTATATCGAAAAGGAACTTTCAATCAATCGGTCTTCTAGCTTCGCGAATTATGTATTTATGCGTCATGCGAATTTTGCGAGCAAAAAAGAGGAAGAAAAATTGAGAAAGGAAGAGAGGGAGAATATTTTTTGTCGCGACGCTTTTAGTTTTTACCTCGTATCGCGAACGGGTCCACGAATGTGATTATTATTAAACTTTACAAGTGCGCCGAAAAAAGCGTGCGCTAAACGCGAATTTGATACATCTCTCTTTTTTCTGGAAAAGCTGATTTTATCAAAGTCAAAGCAGCACCACTGGCATTAGCAGCAGCAGAAGCAGTGGTGGCGTGTCTCGAAAAAAGCCTGTATGTTATATAGCTGGTGGTAAGAAGTAAAGTCACTCTCTACTCTTAACGGGATCACTATAGACACACACAGCTGCTCGCCGATATATGAACTGTTTCTACTGCTGCTGCTGCTGCTGCTGCCACTGCTCTGTATGTCTATACGAAAATCATTGTGCGCACGTGTATCGAATTTCATCCGACAACGAGGCATCATGCATAAAATCGAAGATATTATTTCTGTTCGTGTGTATGTATGCTCTCAATGTTCGCGTAGGTATATCAAGTGTAGAGAGAGGGAGATTTTTCGAGTTCGTTTTCCGTTGTTCTTTCCGTCGAAAAATAAATTCACAAAAGTTATTTTCCATTGCTTTTCGGGCTAGTTAGTCACTGCCTCTCTCTGTCTCTCTTTTCTGCCTTTATTTCTTCTTCTCGAGGGTCATCAATTATTTATCTTTATACGATATAGGTTTTCAGCAAATCGTGAGTATTCAATCGCAATTCGACCGAGCTTACACTTGCATCGCAGGAAGTTGCATCACCCTTCACGCGAACCGTGAAAATAAACAATGTTCCTCGTGCACTGAGATGTATGAAATTCCCTTGCGATGCAAACGTTAAATATTCTCCATACATTTTCACGCGAATCAACGACGACGACGCGATGACGCCTCGAGTCGCGCTCGACACATAGTCTAATATAATTTTTTGGCACGATTTTCAGGAAGGAAACACGTGCAAAGAGAGAGCACTACAGAAGCAGTGCATCTGCAGTCTTCGTCAGTCGCCGTCGAAAATGAAGCGGCACACGATGATCGACGAGATGGGCAGCAGCCCTGGGTCGGTCGTCGGTAGCAGCGCGACTCGAATCGCCTGCGAGGTGAAGATCGAGCAGAGCGTCTCGCCAGCCAGCGACTCCGTGGGCAGCACGACCTGCGAGCCCGAGGCCTCGTCGACACCGATGAAGCTTCATCATCATCAACCACACAATCATCCCCAGCACCATCATCCGCATCATCATCATCATCATCACGGGCTGAACATCGAAAACAACAACGTCAAGTGCGAGGCCTGCAGCAGTGGCAGCGTCAGTGACCAGACCGAACTAGAGAGCGAGAGTCAGCATCATCACCACGCGCAAACGCCGATGGTGTGCAGAGTCAAATGCGAGACGGGCTGCGGCGGCTGCGACATACTCAAGTGCGAGCAGTGCATCAAAGAGTCGGGCCAGCTATCCAATTCGGAAATCGACAAAGACTCCGGTATACTGGAGGACGACGCTGGCTGCGGCAAGATGGAAATCGACACCGAAGTCAAAGAGGAACTCAATGCACTCGTAAGTTTGCTTGCAACTTCGCACGTGCTTGGACCTTTTTTCATTTGTGTGAATGTGTGATGAAAACACTGAGACTCATAATACACTTTTTTTATTCGTGATAATCTGCCAATTGAATAATTAATAGCCTATGAAATGAACAGCAAACTTTAAAAACGACATTCATCATGAAGTAAATTTTATATGAGTTGAAATTTTAAAGCCAAATCCTCAAATTTTCAATATTTCATTTTTATTTTATTTGTTTTTGAAAACAAGTATGATGTTACGAGTATGAAAATATTAAGAAAATCTATTTTTAGATTTCGAAAGTGCGATAAAAATCATTGCGTGCGCATTAGGCGCCGATGGTGGGAGAACAAATGGAGTATGTGAAAAATGATTGTCGGTACAGGCGTGCCAGTACGACGTGTGTGTGTACGAATTGGTGTGCAAAAGCGTGCACGTGCTTCAATTTGAAATACTTAATGCGCAAGCGTTAATTAGACGCTCTTCGTCTCACAGTTGTTTTGCGATCTTTTCCTACAGACGGATAGTGGCGAATGGCAGAAGCCCGATTACGAAGCCGAAGCATCCGATCTTGGACTATCGAAATCAGAGGATACCATGCAGCTCACAAGTAGCACGGATAATTCGTTTTCACAAAATGTAAGAATTTTCATTTACTCGTTTTCATTCTACTTTAAAATTTTTAAGAAATTTATCATGCATATATATGCATAGCATCATGACTTTATAGTAACATCATTCATTTCATGCAGTGGATGAGTGAATGAACAAAATCAATCCCCCATACTTTTTAAAAAATTACTTCCATATTATGAAATACTAAAATCACTTTTGTGTTTGAATTGATGTTTACCAATTACTTCAAAGTAACTTCTGAGGTGTGCTATTTATTTAGTTGTTAGCCATAGTAGTGCACTATCATCTCAATTGCTAGCTATAATATAAATATTTGTGCAATCGCTAAACTTTAATTAACTGTACACAACAAACAAATAAGTAACGATTAATAAATATTAAATATCTATTACTTTATTTTTGGAATATGATTTTATCATCATACCAAAGTTGAAATTACTATTTAAAATAGTATTTACATCCAACTATTTACATTGAAACAATTTTTGAGATTACGGATATTTGACAAAGTAGTATCAGATCAATTCCAAGTTCAAGTCAAATTGTTCCTTTCATTGTCACAACTTAATTGACAACAATTTTTATTCACTTTATCAAATAAGACTTTAATATTTTAATTTTTATAATTTTATTTTGCATATTGCTTATTGTTAAAAGTTCAATAAAGCAAAAAAGTAAATAAAAAAAATCATTAACAAATCTGTTTTCATAAATGTTCTGAAATTTCACTTCATTATTATATAACAATTAGTCACCTTTTGTAATAATATTCAACTTAATCTATTTGATTTCAAATGGTTTTTGAGGTCTTTCGTTAATTTACTGTAAACACTCTGGTCAAATACTATCTACAATCAGCATATTTGTGCCATTACTTACTATCAACTATATATGAATATTATTCATTCTTCACTGCCCTGTCTGTTAATTTATTCATACCATTGATCTGATACAGATGTATCTTTTTTTTTATATATTGACTAAGACATTTACAAATGGACCATTATTTTTACTAGCGATGAACAAAGTTAAGTCGAAATTTGAACTTATAAGGTTATCTACAGTAAATGTTCTATGTAGAATTAAATCCTTGTATCTAATATTTTATTTTTTACTATTGCAATTTTATGAACTTCATTGAAAACTTTCAAATACATTATTGATTATATATCCACACACTTAAACTACCTAATCATCAAACTAATCATGAAACTTTACTATACTCATTTTACACATCTAATGAAACAACATGTAAACGTTAAGATTGTATAAATGACAACAGTAGACACTTGTTTTTGCACCAAAGTAAAGCATTACGCATCGTCGTCTCGCGTCGACTGCTATATTTTAGGGAGTCCCATTTCTTTGTGTTTCGTGGAATAAGCACTCGAGGACGTATGAATGACGCATGCAACTGAGCATAAATAACAAGTGAATAGAAACTCAAAATTCCAATTTTTGAAAATGTACTGACTAAATAAATAAAAAAGATATAACATTTGTATGAGCTCTCAAGAAAAATTATATCTTTTTCATATCAGAAGCTTATAATAAAATTACTTAAAAGTAATACTTTCCAAACATTTCTTTTTAATCTTTTACAGAATGACTCAATGGACAAAGAGTCGTTGAAGAAAAAATCGGCCAAAAAAGTCGCGCAAAAACGTAAAATTGAGAGCTCCAATAAATTCGAGGCTGCAGCCAAAAAATTGAAAATCAAAACGGCATCAGAAATAGAAAAATGCGCATCCTCTTATGAGGAAACTATCAATTTTGTTGCTCAGCAGTGCTCTGTGAAAAAACCAAAAACTTCCAAAAAGACCCTCAAGAATGCAGCAGCGATCACGAAGTCTAAAAAGTTAACGAACGTCAAAACCGACGATAAAATCAAGCCTAAAGCCCAAAAAAATTCTAAGAAAACAGCGGAGCCAAAAAATGTCAAAAATCAGCCTTCGGTATCGATATCGAAACCGGTAGCTGTTTTAAAATCATTGGAAATTAAGGTGAACAACGTTAAAGCCGTTGATGCAAAAATAAACGATGGGAAAAAGCAAAATTCCATAAATACTTCGAGTTCCGACTCCAATCTACTGCCCAATCCAATTAAATTGGTCAAGCTGAAGAACGGGTTAAAGAAAAGTACCGAATCTCTGGTTGTTCCTGACATAGCAGCTAAGAAAAACGCCAAATGTAAAAGTAAAGTTCAAAAGAAAAACAGAAAGGATAGCGAAGAGACGGCTGTTACTGCAAAGGAACATTCATCAGAAGTGGTGGATTCCAATAAATCCCTTGAATTACCCAGGAGGCTATCTTTCAGGCCAAAATGGAGCAACGGCTGGAGTTGGGAGGGCGAACCATTCGAGGCAACTGTTGATCTAACGGTAAATCTAACTTTGAATAATTGAACTGTATGAATTGTTAGATTCTTCTAAAAAAATTATTCTTAAAAAAAGAGTTATAAAATATTTCAATTGTTTACGCTGTACAAACTTTAAAATTACTTTACAATTTTAAAAACAGAAATCATTTACCCAATAAATTATTAATCACATTAAATCCTATGTATTTGTATTATAGAAGATTGTAACAAGTGCAATAACCTTTTTCTTTTTTTCAGAATGAACATTCTGTCACGAGAATTTGTTACGCCAGAATGAGGCATCAAAGCGGAGATGTGCTTCAACCGAAGGACTGCGTACTGCTCAAAAGTGGACCACGTAAAGCAGATTTGCCATACGTTGCAAAGATTGCTGCACTTTGGGAAAATCCAGAAGACGGTACGTCGATTATTGCTTTATACAATTGCCAGTAGTTTGCGAAATGTCCTAATTTATTTTTAATTGCGCACAGAAGTGCGTGGATTTATTATTCGTTATGCCACTGTATATCCATTATCAAAATATTTTATTGATATACATTTTTCTTTAGTGATGACGATACATTTAAATCCATGTTTAATTGTATTCTTATTTCTTTTATCTAGGTGAAATGATGTTCTCGTTATTGTGGTACTACAGACCGGAGCATACAGAACAAGGTCGCACAAAATATGATTACGACGAAGAAGTTTTTGCTTCGAAGCACAGAGATGTTAACAGTGTTGCTTGCATTGAAGACAAATGTTACGTACTCACTGAAACGGAGTATGGCAGGTAATGTGTGATTTAAATATTCTCAAAAACGATCGTAAAAGCATGGATAAGCATTTTATGCCTCTCTATTTTCTTTACAGATATCGTAAGAATTTGCGCAAAACTGAAGAAGGAATCGAAGGTCCTTGCCTTACTTCATTGGTCGTACCACCGAGCACTGAGGCTTACCCACGCGTGAGCCGCCAGCCGCCCAATCCTGTTCCCCACGACTTGGTATTATTCTGCCGTAATGTCTATGATTATAGACTGAAAAAAATAATACGCGAACACAAATACACAAGGAATCACCACACAAAACGTCTGAGGCGGCGGACCAAAAGTGCATCGCCTCACAGTGCGGCAGACTCGGCAGAAGCAAAAACACACAAAAAGAAAAAAATTAATGAAAGATAAACGTAGAAAAATCGGGCAGGGATGGGTTATAAGAGAATATTATATCCATATTTTTTGTGAAATACTATATAAGTCGTATGAGCAGTGTGAATGTGTCTGAAGAAAATGCGTGAATATTTTTTAATTATGCACAGTGTTTTTGCGTAGATGATGTTAAACAATAATTAACGTTTGCGATGATGATTGAAACAAAATATGTATAAATATGTAAACATACATATTGTACAACTTATACATATATGTGCGTGTATGTAAATGTAGTCATGGGGCATTGACCACTTTAGCGAGAATTCATATATTATATCTTATTATTTTACTATATAATTGAATGAATGAAAACAATATGAACAGAACGATTACAAAGTAGAATGTATGCTGTAAGTGAACGAAAGTTATTTTGCACTGTTGGTCTTATTTGACGATTATGTATTCTTTTTTAAACTTTTTTATGGTACACTTTTCATTTTATTTTTAAAATGAGAAAAGCTCACAAAAGTATTATTTTCTAATCATGGATGATCGGTTAAATTTTGTTTTCTTTAATTTTAATAGAAAAAACTTAGTTAAACTTTGAGGAATCTTTATAAGTTGACAAGAGTATTTTGATAGTTGATGCCCTAGAGTATCTATTTTAGCATGATTCTCATAGATTTTCAATATCATGTTTTAGTATATTGACGTTGCAAAATTTTTATTCAAGAGCTTGTAAATTAGCTACAGTAAAATACTTGGTAATCAAAAGTCATGTGTAATTTTAAATGTTTTAAATTTATTTTGAATCTTTTGATCTTTAAATATAATTGTTATTATTTAGTTTAATTTTTTCCGAACAGAGTCAAGTAATTCAAAAGTAAAAACAGTTATGTTTTGCTTAAGAATGAAAAGTCAATTTAAAATGTTTAATGGCGGACTCTGTTATGACTTCTAAGTTCAAAAGTTTGATTTTGTTATCAAAATTTTACTTATCATTCAAAATAAGATCAGTCAATCAATATATTAATACGTAAATAATCACGTGATCAAAAATATATTAACATTTAATGAAAAACTATGCTTTGCTATTGTAACAGTTAAATATTTGTTATTTATTACTTTAAAAGATACGTTTACGCTACTTAAATTATAACTTGCAAATGAATATTCGTACCGAGTGGTTATGAATTTTCGTATGTTAACTGAAATGTAAATTCCTGAACAAAATCATGTTAATTTAAATTTTTTCTGTAAAATAAAGACGACGCATGTTTATACATCTATTGGAGAAAATCACGAAGAAATTATATTAATATTACTATCGGGGTATTGTCTTATTTCACTCGTATAATATAGAACTTAATTTCATTTATTTATTAATCGTGTCATTTTTAAAAAGTGACGAGAAAGACTGTGTGGGTTCGAAGTGAATATCTGTAAAAAATTGAAGCTAAAGAAAATGAAATAAAAGTACAGAGTTTCAAAAAGTAAAAATCAAAGCTTGTTTTTCAACTTCAAAATTTCAGTATATTGTGACTCAAATGTTGGATATTTCTCTTACATTAATAAAGACCAAGTAGTTTTGTAGCTGATTCCTTTTTGATACTGGAAAACTCCATGTATAACATAACTCTTATAGTAAAAAGATGTATCATAAGAATTTGGCGCTAAACGGACTTTTTTACGAAAAAAGCGGCTCAGTTATAACAATTTTTGTCTCTTAACGTTGATATAATCAAATTTCACTCGCTAGCAACAGGTTACGATGGGAACAGAGCACTTTTTAAATGAACAAAAATATGCATATCGAAGAGTGTCATTATTTGCGTTAAATTCGTGCAACTTTCATTGTTTGACGCGTCATGTACTGAATGAAGAATTTTTCTATGCCAAGACTTTGAATATAAAAGAGGACCGGTATAATTCAAAAGCAAAATGGATTTTCAGAAAAATTATAGATGTTTATTCATATAAAGAACCAAATATTGTTATATAGAAAGTAGTTGTGAGTATTAAACATTGATATTACAAAAAATGTAACGTAATATAACGATACACTTTTATCAGGTCCGATAGTTCTGCGTAAAATATCGGAGACGTGGTACTTTTTTTTAATGTTTACAAAGTAAACAACGAGATAAACAAAACAGGCTGCCGACAAACAAAGGAAAAGTTCATTATATGAAAAATAGCACGATGTATAAATTAATAATCAGAAAAAATGACTTTGAATATGCCTTCAAGAATCATAAAATAGAAATGAAAACTTTTGAATCCTGTATAGTACATTGATGAAGTATATGTATTTGCATATAGCTGCAGATTCTCCGATGAGATGTATACAATTCATATATTAATTATTATGTATTTGTTGTTACGAAAAAAATTTGTTTGATGTATTTTTTTCTGTTTTGTATAAAATAGTGGTTATTTTGAAGTTCTGTTGATTGAGTTTAATAAGTACTTCAATTCATTCAATTATTAAATTAATTAAACATGAAAATTTAATCAAAATTTTAGCTTGTACCGAATATAAAAAAGTTAATACTTTTTTCTAAGATAATTTAGTATTGAAGATATAAATAATCAATAAAAAAATAATTAATATATGATCATGTATGAAAATGAAAAACTGTAAATAAATATATGTGCGGTTGTGTTGGGAAATAAATCATTGTTTTAATTACGTATTTGTGTTTTTTGTTTTTTTCTAAGTTTATGTTGAAAGAGAAAAAAATGAAAACATCACATTTAAAATATGAAAGACGATTTAAAAATGAATCGTTGTTAATTAATTTTGTTTGTGATACGATATGCAATATGAATTGCGTTCCTATCCAAATGACTTTTTTCAAGAGTCAAACGAAACCTAAGCCACTGAAAATATCGCATTATTCCATTGCACGTTGAGTAAGCTGAACATTTTGCCCATGAGTGAGCATGTGAATTAAATTAAAGTCTAAATGTATAACGAGTAAAAAGAGATAATACAATTAAAAGAGCAAAGAACTGTCGGACACGTTACGAATACAGTGAAATAAAAAATTCAGAATTGTTTCTACACGTGCATTCAACGTATAAGGGTATAATTGCGAGGAGAAATAACATATGAATTATAAATACGTATATAAATATTTACATATATATGTATATTTATATTTATTTAAATAAGTAGAGCAACAAAGTATATGAATAATATAAAAAAGTATATATAAATTATATTGAACAATTATATTTGGAAAAGTATTGGAGGTAAATGTTTTTCAAAGATATCTGAATGTCGTTGAGTTTTTAAAACGCTTCGTCTTAATTTTCTAAGAGCAATCGGGGCAAACTTTGAAATTGGAGCAATACGCGTGATAAATCTATTATTTAAAATGTACGTATATCGTTGATGATAATTGTTGAAAATAAAATAAATTTGAATACGTAAAAAAATAAATATCCATGGATAATATTAAAAGAAGATGACAATTATAATGATGAATACAAAAGTGCCACAAGCGTTCCTAGCAATTTTTGCCCGAATTCTCTACGCGATTTTTACCCGTAGATCTGAGTGTCAGTCTTACCCCCTTGCATGTATTGTCATTGAATTATTTTGTGTATGGGACACGAAATGGTAGAATGAAATTCCGATACGTGGTTATGATAAAATGACAACTAATGAGCAAAAAAATTATTCAGCTGATGTGTGAGAGTTGTAGTCAACGAAAGACTTGCAACACTCGGTTGTCAGTCGTTGAACAATATTAATTCAAGTCACGCGAATAGACATGATTTTTTATTTTTTTCAAAGTCTTCAATAAATTTAAAATCTCGCGAATTGAGATCGCTTTTTTTATCGTAAACTTAAAAAGCGATGATGAATGACATTAAGTGTACTTAAAACCTATACCAATATTATAATAAAAAGATAAATAAACGAAAATAGTTACATAAATGCAAATAATTATGTGTTATGTGACATATTTGGAACACTGAAGAGACAAAAGATTAATAAAGAAACAAATGTGCTAGCAAGATAGCTGTAGCGCGTTTTTGAACTATTCGCAACAATATAATAGTTGGTAAAAAGTCTTGCCGGAATTTGTCGACCATTTTAACGCGAACAAAAATAAAAACATAAACTGACGAAGCGGAAAACAATAAGAGGGGTTGATTTTTCCAACCAACGTTAATGTATTAAAATATATAAGTAATATATCATTCTTATTATCATTATCGTGCCAGTGTGCAGAGTCGAGTGCGCGACGAATTAAAAAGTGAAAATGTCGATCGAAGCCGCGTACGATATCATTTTCGACAATAATAACGCAAAACAGTACTGATCAATTAAACGAATTCGATTCTTATGCCGCAGCAATGTCAGCTCAATTATTGTCTTCAAATGAATTCGTCGATTAAACACTTTTATCACTGTTGAAATGCGATCGTTACGCAAGCTCACGATCGAAGGGATTTTTTTTCGGTTTTTCGTTCGATGCATACACGAGAGGGTACGATTTGCACCTGCTGAGTATGTCGTGTCTGAATATTTTTCTCGTCTGTATGTATAGCTCTTTATATAACTATTTAAATGTGTGTGAAGCTTCGTAGTGAGTGCAATCCATGTTTTTCCGTATATTACGATGCCGTGGAAAGAGATGAACGCATAATTAGCAACAAACAGGCTGAAATTATAATGGAAAAAAATCAGAAAAAATACATATAAACACACAAAATCTATCGAATATTTGTAATAAAAAATACGTATATATAACTGCGAATTCGCGTGGTGTTGTGTGTGTGTGCGTGTGTATGTGTGTGTCTGTGTATGTACTAGACGCCGGGGGAAAGTGCAAAAAAGACTCATTCATCCCCGGTCGTGGTCGTCAACGAGTGAGGAAAAATCAAACGCATTACTGAAAATTCCACGTCTTTTCTCTGTGGTGTACATTAAGTAAATTAAGTCAAAACGAGCGGACAGCAACAATATAGTGATGACAAGAAAAAAAAGAAAATAATAATAATAATGACGAACTTTCGAATGAAAAGAAAGTGGAAAATAATGAAAAATTGTATCATTGTAAAAAAGATGGAGATGGCGACCGAAAAAATGTTCAATAAATTATTCGATTGAGTTCGGTGAGAATCTAATTTTTTTTCTTATGCCTCAATTTTTATAACATTTAAGAATGAATATAATTTTACTTCAAATTATTTTTAGTAAAAAAATATTTTTCATCTCATTTGTCGCAAGGAAACGCAGTCTACCTATCCGCGTGGTAGAGCGAGAAAAAGAGCAGTGCACCGTGTAATAAAAATATAATTCGATCGAGCCGAGTGGAAGAAAAGGAAAAATAATATCGCGATATTGATGAAACTGAGCGTAAAAAATTCAGCATCACTGCCTCACAACATAAACTTATTGTTGGACAAAATCGTAGAATTTTTTTTTTTATAAAACGATATACATTAGTCGAAGTCACGAACACGAAACTCGCATTCTCGCATTAGAGCGAACGAAATCGATGGTGAAGTCACTATGCCCAAAAAATCATATATATATCGCGTGTCCGTTTGTGCTTATTTTTGAAGAAAAAATAAATCGAGTAATTAGCCTTTAAACGTCGCGCACAAAGAGATCGAATGAAAATGTTCAAGCCACGCTCCAAATCATTGACGATCGATCAATGGCCACGATCGACTGAACTCATTCAGCATGTTTTCTGTATTCTCGGAATAATGTCTACGAGGAATACAGATCGTCAAAGATTCGCATTGTCCCGAGTTCTGTTCGACTTTTAAATGTATACATTTTTGGAAATTCATCGTTGACTGGAATCGAACAGGTGTCGTCGTTGTACGACACAATGGGCCAGCATCGTTATTGATTTACCAGATTCATAAAACCACAGAAGATAAAAAGTAGTATTGGACGAGTGTAACTTGTTGGCTCATAGGTATATATTGCGAGACGCGCGTCATAATGTGGGCGTGTGTGCACAAAAACGAAATATGCCTCGTTCCAAAGAAACGAAGATCTACAGTCGACGTGGGTCATCGTTACCGGGCAAACGGCTGACCATCACCCTAGCGTCAATATTATACACGGTACATATATATCTTCTTATTACGATCTGTCCCTTATACACAAGTTGTAGTGCGCGCGTACATGTATAATCCTAGAGCCGTCCCAAAACGACACGCGTACGTTCATGCCTCCTTGGGACCACACCGGCTTAGATTAATTCGATTAATAGATGCCTCGTACCGTCTATTCGCGCGTCCGTGTCTGTCTCTGCGTGTGTATCGCGCGTATATATCTCCTCCCATTCTTTGCTTTCATTCTTGGCCGCGCGGCTTTGTATGCTGCTGCTGTTGCTGCTACGCGCCCCATATAACGACGACGCGGGAACGTCCGGTATACACAATCTCGATTCTTTATCTCTTTTGCCACTCGCGAAATACTCGCAGCAGCCTAGGCTGTGTAGCGCTGCCTCGTGTGATACATATAAACCCCCGACTGCTTCTATTATGGCCGCGATTTGTACCGCTCTTTGCGATCCGAGCCTTCTCGAGAGTTTTGCCTCGAAAGGATTCTTCCTTTTTACGCGTGTGATCGTCGTTTTCAAGATATATATATGTCCGTGTTCATCTTCGAGAAAAGCTCGAGCCTGCATTTATCTTTCGCCGAGTTCTGGAGATAGATGATTTGTCGATTTTATTAATATATGATCGAATTATTTACAAAAACCAAACAGCAAAAATGCTCTATAGAAGATGTATGGATTTGAGAAATTCGATGCTCCATCAAATTTTGAGTTAAAATGCATCGGTGAAAAACCTTTTCAAATTTCACCCAGAACTTGCGTGAATTTTTCAATGAAATCAATCACGCATTCATACCACAATCATATAAACTGATATAGTTTTGATAAATGGATCCATCGTAAAATAAACATGGAAAATCCATCTCAAATTATTTTAACCGAAATCTGTACGGCAGCGCTTAGCACTGAGTTCATTCAGATGCAGACACTACCGGCCGTTACCGTCTATTGTTTCAAGTATCGCACACTATATTGGCAGTGGATTTTTACTTCGAAACAGTGGCACCAGCAACAAAATCCTATAAAAATGCCGCGTTTATAGTGAAAATAAAATAAGAAGTCTCAAACGATAGTTTGAGATATAGTGACTCGAGGAAGAAATGTTAGTGCATGAATGAACCTCCGCGCGGGCGCGGCCAAGGTGTTTTTGCCTCTGTTTATATTTACCGACGAGGAGATTGGACCATTCAGATAAGTTCGTGCGCGTGTGCATAGACCTTTGATTCTTCATTCGGATGCTGCACTATCGCCTTCAATATTTAGTAAGAACGCAAACAAAAAATTAACAACCGAAAACGATGGAGATCATATTGATTGTTTGAATATTCGTACATAATAGACAATGAAAGTCATTTGTCTTCTGTTTTTCAATTCTAAAATGCACCGATTTCATTCTCAATAATACAATTGAAAATAAAATTTTTAGAGATGTAATTTATGTAAAACTCGGTTTTGCAAAGTTATCATATATGATTTAAATGTAATTTAATCTATGTATTAATTGGACAACATTTTAATTGAAAGTTCAGTTCGATACAACTTGGACATATGATGGCTAAAAATTATTAGGATTATAAATTAATGTTCACTTTAACCTTCACCTAATATCTCAAATTAAAAATTTTCAGAAAAAAAATGTAATTGTACTAAAACTTTAATTACGCCAGTCTCCGAAAAATATCCTCTCCTCCAAAAAAGTTTTTTCCGAAATCGAAAAGCCGAACTTTTTACTTAGGCACAATGATCTGACACCCATGCATCAGAGCGGTGTTTTATATTCAAGCAATTGCTCCGAAATTATCAACAGCGAGTACGCACGCTAATATAGCCATAATTGTTATTTCTCGTCGCGAAAGTCGTGACAAATTTTGAAAAGTCGTGTACCTTAGGGTTAGTAACCGTCACCACATATATATCAAGTATTGCGATTACATCGCGACACCCATACGTAAACAATCAGGCATAATCACTGAGAATGTAGAATTGTAGATGGCACTCATTATTATATATTCTGAGCATCGTGTTCGATAATGTTTGTGTGAAAAAGAATGACCTTTGCGACATTCTTCTGTCTCTGCGCACATACTCTAACTTCCTGGGTCGCGAAGCGTATACCGGTGTAACTTGCAAATGTTACAAAAGTCGCGTGTTTTTCTTTCCATCATTTCAATTATCCTACAGTTCTCCTTGGAGATCGAACGCATCGCGTGTTTTTTCTTGCACTCATCGATCTTGCAAAATCAGCTCTACGACGATAAAGAAGAGTGCACCTAAAGTAATACTTGCGTTTACATGGATTTAGCGCTCGCTGCAGAACATCAGTCGCGAAGTGGTGGGCTAGTGTGGTTACGAACATAATTGTCGTTTAAATGAGGACTAGATGAGAACGCTACACGTGAACCAAAAACATCAACAGAATTAGGACGAACGTGAAAAACAGCAGTTACAAGGTTCGCTTGAGGCAAGTCAAGTCGTCCAATGCTTTATTTGCTTCAACGACTCATCGTGAAATTAGCATCTCTGCGCATGAATGAGACGATATTGACATAATGGGTGAAACTAACGCTGTATTTTCGTTTGACACATTTTTATGTTAATTGACTTTTTGAGCTTTCAGTGGTCACGGTAGCAGTACTTTTATATCACCATCGACATTGGAGAGGGAAATTTTTGCCTGGGAGCTATCAAGTCGTTGCATACGACTGATGTGTTCAGTCGCTAGTATTAATTCCACGAGGAGCAAGTGTTTATAAATTATTTCTGTAATTGAAAAAATTATAGTGAATACACATCACCAAGGAAATAATGGAAGGTAGCAGTGACGTAGTTAGGTAAAGTTTGTACTGATGTGATCACGTTTCGAGTGATTTTGTATTAAAATTGATTCTTTTCCAGGGTGAAGGAAGAGCCGAACTATAATTGGCTGGATGTAGAAGACGGTTCTATCTTCGATCCGGTGGACTCCTGTACAGTCGAAAACTTTGAAACAATACAATTTCTTGCATTACCCGTGAGTACACTAATTTGAATTGTACAATATTTTTGTCCACCATCAATAACCATTATTCAATGTTAATTGTAGGCAAATCTCGAGGATGCGGCTGTGGCGTTACAGGAGAGGTCATGTGAAAAAAGAATCAAAGGTTCTGAATGCGAAGATGTTAAACCAGAACTGAAATCTCTTCCCATGAGTGTTAACAAATTTGAGTTTCAACATTTTCAGTCTATTGTAAAAATAGAGAATGAAAATCGGACCATTGACACGAATGAAAAAAAAATGTTAATTTTGATTAAAAAGGGATTTGATTATGAAAATAATTGCCAGTTTAATATAAACTCCAGTTTTACCATTGCCAAATGCAAAAATCGAAAAAGTTTAGATGGGACTGTTACAAGAAAGTCGTCGCGTGAATCAAAAATGTATTCAAAAACAGAAAAAGCAGATCCAAAAAAGCATACAAATACGACTGTAGTTTGCAATGAATCATTTTCCTGTAGAAGTGACCTCGAAATTCATTCAAAAATGCAAGGTGATTACAAAAAACTCTTCGAATGTGAGATTTGTCACAGTTCATTCAGCTGCAAGGACTACCTCAATAATCACATAAATATAGTACATGATTGTAAATCCTTCGAATGCGAAATTTGTCACAAATCATTTGGATACCGATTTGTACTTAAGAACCACATGAATGCTGTGCATGTTTCTAGAGAATCTTATGAAAAAGAAGAACAAGATAGCAGTTTCGAATGCAATATTTGTCATAATTCATTTGGACTGAAAGATGACCATATAAATCACGTACATGGATATCATAATCGGAGCAAACCCTTTGAATGTGAGATTTGTCATAAATTATTTGGCCAGAATAGTCACCTTAAAACTCACATAAATACAGTACATAATCGCATCAAGCCATTCGAATGTGAGATTTGTCAAAAGTCATTTGGACTAAAAAAAGACCTCAGAAGACATATGAGTGCAGTACATAATCGGATTAAACCCTTCGAGTGTGAAATTTGTCACAAATCATTTGGAGAAAAGAGTACTCTCAATCGTCACGTTAATGTAATACATGATCGTAGTAAACCCTTTGAATGTGTGATTTGTCACAAATCGTTTGGACAAAAAATAAGCCTTAATTATCACATAAGTACAATACATTATCGTAGTAAACCCTTTGAATGTGGTCAATGTCACAAGTCATATGGACGTAAGGGAACCCTCAAGTTTCACATACGTTCAGTTCATGATCGGGGCCAACCCTTCGAATGTGAGATTTGTAAAAAGTCATTTGGACTAAGAAGTGACCTCAAAAGACATATAAGTGCAGTACATGATCGAAGCAAACCCTTTGAATGTGAGATTTGTCACAAGTCATATAGACGTAAGGGAACCCTCAAGTTTCACATACATTCAGTTCATGATCGTATCAAACCCTTCCAATGTGACATTTGCCTTAAATCATTTGGACTAAAACATAATTTAAAATACCACATAAATGCAGTACATGATTATGGCGAACGCTTCGAATGTGACATTTGTCACAAATCATTTGGACTCAGAAGTCACTTCAAAAGGCATATAAATAAAGTACATAATCGGATCAAACCATTCCAATGTGAGATTTGTAACAAATCATTTGGATACAAGAGTAAACTTAAAATACACTTAATTGAAGTGCATGATCGTATCAAACCTTGCGAATGTGGGATTTGTCACAAATCATATGACCGCAAGAGTGACCTTAAAATTCATATAAATACAGTACATTATCCCAGCAAATCCTTCGAATGTGACATTTGTCACAAATCATTTGGAATCGAGAGAAATCTCAATCAACACATAAATATAGTACATACTCGTAATAAACCCTTCCAATGTGAGATTTGTTACAAATCATTTGAATGCAAAGACCAGCTGACTGTTCACCTGAGTGCAGTTCATATTAACAGCATACCCTTCGAGTGTCAAATTTGTTATAAACTATTTGAACAAAAAGTTAGCTTAGAATCTCATATCAATACAATGCATAATCATAAGAAACCCTTTGAATGTGAAATTTGTCACAAATCATTTGGATACCAGAATATACTCAAAATTCACATGAATGTTATACATCGTCGGAACAAGTTTTAGAATGTGATTAATAACTCACATAATTTCAGAACGTGATCGTAGTAAATTCTTGGAGTAAAAGATCTAACTCAAGTCATATATTCGCAAGGGCACCTTTCAGTCTACATAAATACATGTCTAGAGCATAGAAAAAAATTTTTAAATAATCTTTATTTTATTTGGTGGAAATAAATGAAGTGAGTTTTTCAAGCTGTTATTAATTTTGCCATTGCTGTAAAAAGTCTTTTTTAGTATATTAAATTTATATTTAGAAAGAATTTAAAGTTACGTCTTGGTCTTCAATTTATTTATTTCAATATTGCTGTGAAACTGATTTTCAAATATTTCATTCATCTGCTTATATTTTCTTAAATATGCTTGGTTATTGTGAAGATAGAACATTTTTTCAATCGAGTTTTTAAGTCCCAAGTTCTTCCTTAACTCGAGTATTTATCCGCACAATTAATTTTTCTTATACATAAACGATTCAACATATATTTATGGTCAATAAAAAATCTGTTTAAATAGTGTCAAGTTTGCTCACAAATCGCACAATACATCCAACGAAACTCAGGTTACTCTGCAATAATCAGCCACTGAAAGAGCTTCTGTAGCGTAAATAATAATTACGCAAAAAATGATTCCCTTGATAACAAAAAATTACGATTCCAAAAAAAAAAAATATTTTCAATTTTCAATTACCTATAAATTAAAAGTTGGTCATAAAACCTACAAGATTTGGTTTTGAAAATATTACCTTTGAAATAAAAAAAGGTTCATGGCAGCACCTAAAATTATTCTGACAGAAACTTCAGTGTCGCGTTCGACGTGATAATACGTATTCACATTAAAATAGATGGTATGTAAAAATTGCCAAAAGTGCCACGCATATGAGTCGGGTACTTGGATAGTACAATGCAGCTGGTTCGGTTAGATGTAGTCGGCTACACTGCCAAGAATCGGCCAGACCTTCGTACGGACGTTTGTTGGGAATTCAATTTCCAAATTTTTCTACGACTTCTGGTTGAAAAAATCGTTTTCAAGTCTACCACAGACCTTCTTTCTGACATCGCTGAGAAGATCTTGGTAGGGATAATAGGCGGTGGCCTTGAATCCTACATCGAGGTTCCGCCAGGGCTGGTGGACTGGCAATCCGGATTTCCTTCGGGATCGATCAACTGTCGACGCTATATCCAAAAAGTTCGGATCGGTACCTGCTAGATTCGAGGCCTAACATGAGAGAACCAAGGAGCAGTCGACGCAAGCTCTATATTTTGGCGTCAGCTTGGACTCGATCCTCTTTTACGATGCACCGACGTGCTTGCCTACGCACTATCTGCGGCTTTTCTGCCGCAGCGAAGGATGCCAATCTATGTAATCTCTCGTAAAGTAAGCTTCTTGAGCTTCATCATCTCTTCACTCATCACACACACACACATTTAAACAAAAAGTTGCGTAGCTTCGATGTAGTATAGGTTTACGGATGCTAATACTGCACGAGTCGAATGTATCGAGGAAATATTGTGTACCGCGACGACGACGACGACAAGTCGCACGCACGCCGGTAATATCGAGTCTTTTTGCGTCTCGATGGGCATTGATCCGTCGCTTTCGCTTTTTCTCTCACTCTATCTCTCTCCCTCTCTCTCTTTTCCTCACCGCAAAATGAAGCGTGTGACGAGGTGGCACGTTTTTTTTAACCGAGCGAGCACACGCCTCGCGATATAAATTTTAATGCTCGATCGCCAATCAGCTCGGCTCGATGATCGCTCATTGAGTAATGAAAGCCTATACACTGATATACGCGCGCACACGATACACTTTGCGGTCGAAGGTACTCGTGCGCGTGAGAAATCTAATTTCGGCTTGGCCAATTTATTAATGTGTAATTTTTCAGCCTCGTGCGCTTGATTATTTTTGCATAATGAAAACGCGCGGGCCACATAATATAACACTCAGGATAAGATATAATACAGCAATGCTATGTATTACATATATATGTTATAATAAATATGCTCTCGATTACGAAACAAATAATGCGTGAAAAAATTGCGTACGCATAATTGGACGGGCGAGGGTTTGATTAAAGGTGACGTTTCAGTTATATCATAAATCGCATGCTCGTGTCGCGATGACGCTGCGAGGGATAGATGAAGCGGAAAAAAGCCAAGCGAATATATTTATATTGGATACATAATACACCTGGAGGCACGATTTATTTTCGCTCGACTTGTCGTCGTCGTCGTCGTCGTCGTCGTCGCTGCGCGTGAATATTATACCGCGCGCGTGCGACTTCGCGATCGATAAAATGCAAGATCAAAAATTATATTGCACAGCATAATAACGATGATCGCGAGATAACTTCGCTTTGATTGCTCGAGCTGACAAATTCATTGGTATCTTCATTATAAGGACGAATGATTATCAGGTTAATATACAGTGCTTTTGTCCAATATACGATGTGTACAAGAGGGCAAAAGAAGCAGTTGGAGCCTATTTACTTAATGACTATAGCTGCATTAGCTATTAAGTTTATAAGTCCGCTATTTGTAGCCGGTTTACGCACTGCAGTCTTCTCTCGGGTGCTTAACATAAAAAAGCCCCGCGCGAGTCGCGGCAAAGATAATCCTAAAAACAAACGAAATCGCCCCGTGAAACGCGCCCTCGGGCATTGGCACTTTCTTTTCAGGCCTCGAGCTTGCGAATAACATAACGACGTGACTTTTGGTCCGTGCATGTATGCGTTTACGTGGGTACGCTCGTTTCTGATATGGCCTAACTCGACTACATAGAAGCTGCAGGGTCGGAAAAAAGAACCAGGGCACGGTGTAATCTGAGCAGGGGTGCGCGCACAAAAAAATAAAGAAAAAAGAGAAATGGTGCTAGTGCCCGCAACGGCGTTGCATACACACAGCACATTTTATGCGGACACATACACATATATGTGCTCAAGATATTATGCAAAGGTCTCGGAGCGCCAGTAACTCGCACTGTGTAATATCTCGGAATGTATGTGTCCGCGAGCGAGCAGTTTTCTGCCTCTGCGCAAACGTACGTATACACACATATGTGGACAGAAATCCCTCGAGTGCGCACGTAGGACCAGCCTGGCTCAATTAGTGCCTTTTAAAGCTCGCCTGGTTTCTTTTTGTTTGCTCCTCTATGTGTGGCAGCAACCTCGGGACACTTTCGTATGAATGAAAAAAACCGAGAGAACGAGTCCGTACGACGAAAACACGAACGATTCACCTAAGAAAAATTATGCCCATAAACGATGAGATTCTGCGATACGATTGCTCTCAAATCTCGGTGGCTTTTGGTAAACTAAAAATTACGCTATTCTTTTCTTATGAATCTGGACAGTAAAAATTACTAAGGTGTGAGTAAAGATTTCTTAAAATTTATCATCTACTTGAAAGTACCCTTTAAATAATGAATAAAAATTGTTTCCATCTTCAAACAATGAATCGCTTACTGATTTTAAAAATTCTCAAATGTAATTTATGCAAATCATATGTTTTAGTAACATATTGATGTAACTGCTGCAGATATCACTACTACCTGACATTCTTTCAACTCTAGTCCCAATATCACGTGTACAATACCAATATTTACTGCATCAATGTGGATCCAGAGATATACTTTCGTGTAAATATGATTTTCTACACATATCGCACAAATGTATAAGTAAATTGTGCGCCTGGATGAATGATAATTTCATTACAATTTCAGTGTAGTTTTAATGAAACTCGAGTCCCTCTATGTACAGCAGTAGTAACTACGTAAGCACAGTCGACGATGCAAGGGGAAATTTTAAGTATGAGGAAGCTATCTCAATCGTGGGATAACCTCGATAATATTATTCGAGTAGTACTGTACTGTCGCTTGAGCACTCCATTCCTGCAGTAATCAAGTGTTTTCATATTGGTAAGTTCCAGCTATAGCGTTGGTGGCTTCTCGAGGCGTTTAACCTGAAATATTCTCTCGTTGTCAATCGCGAAAATTCAGAAAAAAACGTTTAACAATCAATCCAGTGATGGAAAGCAAAGAGGACGTGGTTAGGTAATATTTTTTTTGCATTTTATTCGTATTTTTTAAAGCGATTGTTTTATCAAACTTTGTTTATGCCTAGAGTGAAGCAAGAGCCGAAGGATACTTGGCTAGATCCAGACATCGTTCATAATTTCGATTCGACAAACTCTTGTGAACGTACGTTGCCGTATTAATTATCGGTGAGTTGAATGATTTAAACCATGCACTGTTAACTTTTTTATGAGAAATAAGGCCACAATTTTCATTTTAGGCAAAACACACAAATGCGGCTGTGGCGTTACAAGAAAGGTTAGGTAAAAAAATATACATCGATTTTGAGTGCAAAGATGTCAAACTTAAATTCCCGTCTCTAGCGACAACCATCAATCCAATCCAATGACACGAATCAAAAAAGTCTAATAATTTTGATTAAAAAAGAATTCGATTACGACAATAACTGTCAATTCCAAGAAAAATCTTTATATGAACTTGGAAAATCCAAGGTTTTGAAAGAATTTGAAATAAGAACTCAAACCAAATTACCTCATAATTAAAATTTTTGTTGAAAAGCTTATAAAGGAAAAGTGAGTGGAAAAACACATACCAATTAGACACATAAGACCATTAGACCATATAAATGTGACATTTGCCACAAATCATTTGGACTAAAAGGTAACCTTAAAACTCACATAAATATAGTACATGTTCGTAGTACACTCTTTCAATGTAAGATTTATCATAAATTATTTGGACAAAAAGGCAACCTCAAAACTCACATTAATGCAGTACATTTTCGGAGCAAACCCTTCGAACGTGAGATTTGTCAAAAATCATTTGGACTAAAACATCATTTAAAATCTCACATAAATGCAGTACATAATTATGGCGAACGCTTCGAATGTGACATTTGTCTCAAATCATGTGGACGAAAACAAATCCTCAAACGTCATATAAGTGCAGTACATGATCGAAGCAAACCCTTTGAATGTGACGTTTGTCACAAATCATTTGGACTAAAAGGTAACCTTAAAACTTACATAAATATAGTACATATTCGTAGTAAAACCCTTCCAATGTGAGATTTGTCACAAATCATTTAGATACCAAAATGTACTTAAAAGCCACAAAGTGGCAGCTCATAATCTAGGCATTCCCTTCGAATGTAAGATTTTTCACAAATCATTTGGACAAAAAAGTATCCCCAAACATCACATAAATGCAGTACATGATCGTATCAAACCATTCTAATGTGAAATTTGTCAAAAATCATTTGCAGGAAAGTAACAGCGTAATAGACACGTAAATGCAGTACACAATCGGGACAAACCATTCGAATGTGAGATTTGTAACAAATCGTTTGGATTGCAAGATAAACTCAAGAGGCACATAAATACAGTACACAGTCGAAGCAAACCCTTCGAGTGCAAAGTTTGACACAGATCATTTGGACTAAAAAATTACCTTAAACATCGACATTGAATGTCGATCAATCTGTTATGCGAAATACTTGAAGAATTTGTATTTTTTATTTAAATAATATCAAACATATTTTGGAAGCTTTTAACCAAGGAGTTGTGAGCGAATTTTTATCCCAACAGTACATACTTGTTACATGTGGGTAACGCATATGCGTAAAGTTATCTATGACATTTTTTTTCTTTCATTTTGTTCAAGCTAATCTCCATTAAGCTTATTAGTGTCACACAACGACGTCGTTTTCAAAATCTCAAATAAAAATAATGTATACTTCTCAAAGCCTGTGCGTTTGGCTGCAAAAAACAGTGCTTAACAATGGACATTCGCATTATTTACATTTGAACGTTCGTTCGTAACGCTGAATTTGTAAATGCGCATTTAAAAATGGCTCTTTGACTGTTTTATTTATTGGGACTTTTTTTAATTTTTTAATTTTGTAATTCTGATTCGGTTGTAAAACGAACGACTATAGATGCGTAAATTCTATTGTTCAATATGATCATTAACTCGTGTTTGTTCGTGTTTTTCATGATTTATTCAAGATTCGAAATTATTAGCATTTAAAATTATCTCAAAAATTCGTCAATCGGCCACACGTATTACATTGGTTCTACATTGACTGCAGTAGATTGTACTAGCAAGGGAGTGAAAATGTAAATATACAGATTGACGAGCGAGAGGAGTCAAGATAATGGGATTGATTTACAGCCTTACTTCGTATAACTTCGCAGCATAGCACGGATGAACAACGAAGTTGTCGTTAAACGTAATACCGTCGAGCTCAATGTGATATACAACGCGTCAAGCGACGGGAAAAAAATTTTAATGATGCGGTAATCCCATCGTATCCGCGTCGATTTATCGTCATGTATCATTTTTCAAAAAATTTTCAATGACCAAAGTTAAATTACAATATTCGAAGTAATATTTTGAACGCAAACTAATTTCTTGCGCGTTAACAAGATTAAATAAGCATCAACTACTTAACAGATACAACGTCTAATTCAAAAAATAGAATCAGTCGAACCCGTAAACTGTACTTTCCTCATAACTCGCATCATCGCGACTAATATATATTTTTTCGCGCAATTTGAAATTAAAAAGGTTTTCGATCGTGTTCACATGCATCTATATCGTTCGCAAAGGTCAAAAATTGTTTTTCCACGACAAACCACTCCACCGTCTCGCAGACATATGCCTCGAAGAAAATCCACTTGAGTGAGTTCAATCGGGCGCAAGCAACGCATCGAGCGTCGGGACATTAAAAAGGAGTCGCGTTTCACCCACCACTACCAAGCAGGCATCGATTATCACGCCTTCGTCCATAACGTACACAGGCATGTAATTATAGTTCGGTTTCAGCTTGCTTCAGAGAAATCAGGATGGAGCCTTTTTCGATCGACGTTTATTTTTGTTTTTCACACTATTATCAACGAAGTTATAAGGCAATTCTCTCATCGATGTCATTCTCGCGCGCCGTTACATATAGGTTCCCACCGTATATACATACGAGAGAACTCGCACGTGATAATAACGAAAAAAAAGAGGCGAGCTGCTTGTAAATATATGTGCAGTGTCGGTATGAGCGCGACGCGTAAATACGTATTATATACTTTATAACCGGGGCGAATCGCGGCCATACGTCCGCGATATAATATGGGCACAGCTGTTGCTGCGCGGGAGAAAATGATCGATAACGCAATTATACAATGCGCAAACGAGCAGTGGCATATTACTGAGCGGCGCGTCACAGACGGCGCGCATTAGCGTCAAATCATTATAGTATAACGCATCGAGTCAGAGAGAGGTAAATAGGCGCCAGTCACCTGCCAGACGCGTTTTCGAGGCTGGTGCATCGTCTCCTGTGAGAGCTCGCGCAGAACACGTATGGAGCAGTACCCACGATGTAATGCGCTCGTGACAATTTACAGCTCACATACGTGAATCTATATTATGCAGCAAATGAGCTTATTATGGCATCGAGTTAATCAAATCAATAGGTTCAAAAAAGTGTTCGATGATATGGTGTGCTACAAAAGGTCTAACGTACTATGGAACACGATACAAATTCGAATTCGTTAGGATCGCTACTGAATTAACTTTTAAATAATAGGGACGTATTTTGTGAAAAAGTTCTTTTCTTGTTAATAAAATAAATGAAATTATTTTTATTTGATTATTCAGGTTACTCATATACAGAAAAGTTTACCTTTATTATCTGCGTATACCCATGAAATAGATTCGCAGGGGAAGAATAATTCGCGCGGGCGAAAAAGAGAGAGAGAGAGACAGACGAACGAATACGAGAGCCGTACTGGAGCGCCGCCACTGGAGCATCGGAACACCGCTGCCGCCGCCGCACGCAAAACGCTATATGCCGGCGCGAGCACAGCAGACAACAACTCGCTCGGGGGCTGACTGCGAAACGCCGAGCGCCGCAGCAGCAGCAGCGCGAAGAGCACAGAGAGAGAAGCCGAGAGAGAAGTCGAGTTAGTTGGCGCCGAGCTGCGAGAGCGTAGCGACACTATATATAGTTATACTGTATACCATATATACACCACTTTTTCGTGCATATTCTCTCGCTCTCTCTACGAATTCTTCCTTTATACACACACACGCTTTTTCTTCCTGTGCACTACGTCTTCTAGCGCGTTGACTCTTCTCGTCCTTTTTTACCACCTTCTATGAATGCGTACACGTCTCTAATGCTTTAAAAAGTGAATGCGAGGGAATAAGAATCCAACGAGATAACGTTGATTTTCAAACGAGGGAACACCGAACATCGCGAGTGCGACAACGGCCCGCATACGACGACGTGCATTCGCAGTATTGTCGTGTGTCCGTTGCACGTTCGCGCTCTTTCGACTTCTTTCGAACGCAAATTTGTAATTCGAATTATAAGCGTACAAAACTCGAGTTCGGTGTGCGAAACCGGTGTGTAAGATTTTTGCGGGTGCTCGTTATCACACAGTGCAGTTATTATAACCCCCGAGTCGCTCGATCCTTTTTGTGTTAGTTTTCGTTCTATCGAACGCGAGGCAAGCGTTTCTTTTGAATTACAGTGTGCGTGAATAACAGAAAAGAAGTGATTTTATTGGTTCGTTTGTTCGTGTGCACTTTGTAATAGTTGTTATACCAGTTAATATTATGTGAATTTTGAACGTGACAGTTTTTCGGGATTGCTTATCGGGAGCAGAGAATTAAATATCGTAATTCTGCAGAGAAATCGTAACGGTGCGTGCAGAGCAGCTTCTTCGCCGATCAACATGTGCGACCGGCGCTGAATGCGCATCCACTACCGCAATTCGACAACGATATTCGATACGGTCTAGACACTCAGCTGAAGCCAAATTCCAAAGACAAGTGTAGGATACAGAACGAGGGAGTCAGTTCGAAAGTCGATTGTTTCGAGTCCTATAAAAAAGTGTCCAGTGTATCGAGTGACGCGATGATGATGTTGTGGCCGCGGCAGTGTCTGTTGCTGGCCATGCTGCTTCTAACGGCGCAGCATGGCTACGGTCTCGGCTCCTCGTCGTCATCCTCGGCCGAGTCCGGGGGCGGCGGCAACAGCGGCGAGATCTTCACCAAGATGTTCGCGGGCCAGGCCCCGCCGGCCGACCCGTGCTACGACGAGGATCGTCCGCGCCGCTGCATCCCCGACTTCGTCAACGCGGCCTTCGAGCGCGGAGTCGTGGCCTCGTCCACGTGCGGCCTCTCGGGACCGACTCGCTACTGCGACGGCGAGCCCGGCCAGTCATCGGCCCAGTGTCACGTCTGCGACGACAGCACGCCCCGGCGACGCTTCCCCGCCGCCCACCTCACCGATCTCAACAATCCGAACAACGTGACGTGCTGGCGCAGCGAGCCCCTCGTCGCCCCGCAGAGTCCCAACGCGCCGCCCGACAACGTCACCCTCACCCTGGCCCTGGGCAAGAAGTACGAGCTCACCTACGTCAGTCTGCAGTTTTGTCCGCGCGCCGCCAAGCCCGACTCCATAGCCATCTACAAGTCCATGGACTACGGCAAGACCTGGCAGCCGTTCCAGTTCTACTCGTCGCTCTGTCGCAAGGTCTACGGCCGGCCGAATCGGGCCAGCATCAGCCGTGCCAACGAACAGGAGGCCCGCTGCACCGACAGCCATCGCTACACCGGCGGCGACGGTCTCGGGCCCGTGGGTCGCATCGCCTTCAGCACCCTCGAGGGCCGACCCAGCGCCGCGGACTTCGACAACTCGCCGGTGCTGCAGGACTGGGTCACCGCCACCGACATCCGGGTCGTGTTCAATCGACTGCAGATGCCCCAGAACGAAGGCGGCTCCGATCCCGACGACGTGAGTCGACGCGAGCGCGAGGACGCCCGACTGCGCGGCCAGAAGGCCAACAGCCTGCTGAGCGGCTCCGAGTCCAGCGGCACGGCTCTGCCCTCGGTGCACCAGGTGCTGGCCCCGCAGGAGCTGCAGGCCTCCGCCGGGGATCTGGGCCTGCAGCGCGAGATGGGCTTCGTCTCGGTGCCGTCGCTCAGTCCGCAGGTGGTGATGGCCAGCGGACCGAGCATGGCCCATCACTACGCCGTCTCTGATTTCGCCGTGGGCGGGCGCTGCAAGTGCAACGGTCACGCGGCCAAGTGCAGCCAGGGCCGCGACGGACAGCTGGCCTGCGAGTGCCGCCACAACACGGCGGGCCGCGACTGCGAGAAGTGCAAGCCGTTCTACTTCGACCGGCCCTGGGCCCGGGCCACCGCCAGGGATGCCAACGAGTGTAAAGGTACGTGATGATACGTCTTATTCCATCTTCTACTATTCGATTTGAAATATTATCGGAAATAATAGATTTTCTTGGCATTTTTGCGCACTCGATGGGGGGAGACGGAGGAAAATTACGTAGCATTTTGCCTGCGCGTCGAGCGTTGCAGCTCTTCTGATCTTTGCTCACGACGAACGTGATTTGTTTGACTAATGTCGAACGATAGAGAGAGCGGGGTAGGGGGAAACTGCGGACGCGCATATAAACTGCCTCAACATTGAAATAATATTGAACTTGGTCGCTTTACGACGAATCGAGTGCTGCTGCTGCTATATGTACAAAGAGACGTTGAGCTTAGACTAGGGAAGGAAGGCGTACTACGACAAACTCGCGACTCGCGCGCGCGTCATCATTTGCATCCAATTTATACCAGATAGATATTTATCTTTTTAAATAAAGAGGAATTACTTCATTCGCACGTATTTACGTGTGTCACTTTGGCGGTTGAAGGTGAAAAAGACAGCCGCTTAATTACATTATATAATGACAGATTCAAGCACTTGATAGTTCGTGCGAGTAGTGTGTTGTGCGCTGGTGTTGGCGAAAATTAACATGCGCAGTTCATATTTCACGCGGCAGCAGCAGCAGCAGCTATTGTGTACCCGGCAATAATCTAGAGTTGCATTTGCACTCGTACATTATAGACCTGATAAGATAAGCGCGACGATAAATCGAAGACGCCATGTCAATTATTACCTATGACTCGGGTACGCGCGCCGACATTAATTTCCGCCGTTGCTGTGGCTGCTTCGTTGCTGTTGAGAGCTTTTGCAAGTCGATTGGGCAACAACTTATAGTATATATTATATATAAATGTGATTTGATATATAGAAATGGCTGCTGCGTGCACGCGATCTTGTGCACTAATTACCGACGCTGTTTTTCCGATTTATAGATACTATACGAGCTTGTGTACGCGCGAGTTTGAGTAATGAATAAAGTGTACGAAACGACTACACCTGGCACTCGTTTATTCATTACATCGTTGACGGGTTGTGTACGCTCGACGACAACTACTACTAAACGTGCACAGCAGAGACTTTGAATCGGTCGTCGTAGTATATAAAACGCTCCGAGCCAAATGGAAAACGTAGAAGCTTTTATAGATAATTGAGTGCATTAAAAATACGAGAGAGAGAGACACGACAAATGGCTCGCGCTCGCGTTCCATTCATTTTTTTTTCTCTTTTTTTCGCGAAATAAATCCCGTCCGTGGGCAGCTACTACTACTACTACCGCTTATATTCGCAACGACGACGACTACGACGACGAACATTAGAAGGCCGTGGGTTTGCTTGCACGCAGTTCGCTGCTTCCTTGGTCGGAATTTGACAAGAGTGAAATTACACTCGATTAGCCTATATAAAATTTCACCTATCCGCGTGCTGCTGCTGCTATACAGTTGCAATATACCACTTATGGGTGTGTTTATGTGTGTATATGCGCATATGTGTAGTGCAGACTTTGCTCGCATACGCACGATTTTTAGCTAAAAAAATTAAAAAAAAAAAGAAGTTAGCGTGTGCGATTATTACAGTCGAGCAAAGTGAAAGTCGATAAAATGTTCCTTTTTAACCGCACACATCCGATGACTCGACGACAAGCAGGACGACGTCAACGACGACGACGAATTTGTCTGCGCTGTCTATCTGCTTACACTGCTGCTTCTGCTGCCTGCTACGCGTATCGTTTACTTATGGATCCCTGGAGTAAAATGGCAATTCCACGGACAAACACAGGCGCAGGCTCGAGTCGCTCGAGTCTCGCGCGTGTGTGCATATATACCATAAGGGGATGCAAAAAGGGGAAGAGCCTGTATACCTACATCTATACACAGCGAGAGATGAGGCAAAGAAAACCAGAATCACATCGGAGCAACGAGCGAGTGGCGTGGAGCGCATCAAATCGAGTATTATAAGAGAGCAACAGTAGTTGTAGCAGCAACAGCAGCACGCGCGACACTGTGCCACCCTCTTTGCGTCAAAGCTACGACCCTCAAAAAATATATATATATCTATATCTATGTAGCATGTACCACGATACGAGCGCACAGACTGCCGAGTTCTTTATTTCCTGCGTACATATAATAATACTCTCTTGCCACCGGTAGGAGGAGGGAGAGAGGCAGAGACAGAGAGAGAGAGAGAGAGGGAGAACCGCGAAACCTGATTTCACGCTTCGCTTGGATTCGAGCATCGGAGCGCGTGGGTGCGTGTACTGCTGCTGCTGTGGATTTTTAATTAATGGCTCTACGGTCGCACGCGCGCCCGCGCCCGCTCACCGACTCGCACACAGAGAGCGAGGAGCTTTGTAATTTAATGCGAAGGGAATACTCGCAGCTATATGTACGGCACACGTATATATATATACGCACGCACACGATTACACAGGGTATATGTATAAGGGATTAATAAGATGCTCAAGTGCCGATGCAGACGCGGAGAGAGAGAAAATTGTGCTGCGCGCACCTTATACCGTATGATTATGCTGTACTTGTACGCGCGGTTGCTGCTGCTGTAGCTGTGGCTGCGGCTGTACCTACTTCTTTCTTTTTTGTTTGTTTGTTTGTTTGTTGTCGTCGTCTGTGTGCGGGACTCGCGCGACGTTTACGAGGTGCTGAGAGTTTCAAGATGTATGCTTGTAATATGCATACATCGCAGAAAAATGAGTTTTCATATGCTCGCGCGCGTCCTCGGCCGATTCGAGGCTAACGGCGCTGCAGCAACTCATAAAAGAGCGTTTCGCGAAACAAACTGTTTACAATATTATACGTATTACGCTCGTGAATTGCATCGCACAGCCTCGTTTTCCGGGCACACGCGAGCGTATTATAGTCGCGAAATATTTTATCCCCCTCAAAAAGGGTATTTATATATTTTTTACACAGTCGCGCTCTGTATACGCTGAACTGGAGCAAAATCGCGATAAGTCGCAGTCGCGCAGAAGGCATAATAACCCCATTGCTGCTGGAACTGCACTACCTGGGAGCAGTAGTCCCAGAGGAGCTACTCTGCTCTGCTCTGCTCTGCTACAGCAGCAGCGGGATCGATTCAATCGCCGCCGCCACTGCCACCGCTGTCATCCGTGCGATTCGATCGAGCACATGCACTTGGCGTGTGTGTAACAGCTCAACAATATATAGCTCACTTTCTCGAGACTCCTTTTTTTCGATCGTGCATGTGTATGAGTATAAATTTTATTTAAACCTCGTGCGAGTTTGACACAGGAGACAACTCGACTCGAGGACGATGTACTGTGCGCTGGGCAGACACACGAGACACGCGGCTCGAAAAAACATCCTCTCTTCCGCGTGATTAATTTATTTAAAAAAAACTGAGAAAAAAATTCGGACACCTATGTGTTATATCATGTATACTACGTGTCCCGTGCGATCAGTGGAACTTTGCACGCACAAGAGCAAGTGAAAAAGTGAGAAAGAAAAGAGGAATAATCGATTCGGAGTAAAACGCCTACACAAGCGCGTGCAGAGCCAGCAGCAGCAGCAGAAGCAGTATAGAAACACAGCAGCAGCTCCGAAAGTCGACGTTCTTTTTTTTTCCTCCTTTTTTTTAACTTCGTCGAGACTCGCTGCGAAAAATATTCCGTCGAATATCATAAATTCGAGACGCGTGAACAAAAATGCCTTCGCTGCACTTATGAGCATGTGTGTATGTGTGTGTGTGTGTGCGAGGATGTCGCGCGGTCGTTAATTCGACGCGACTCGTTTAACGCAATGAGTTATTATATGAGAATGTCTAAGTGTGTATGTGTGTGTGTGTGCGTGTGTGTAATACGCATACACACGCACATAACCCAAGATATGCAACCCTGAAGATTTCGCACCTTATGGACGCACGCGCGACTGAGAAAGATTGTCTTTAATTTCATTTATCACCTAGTCGGCGGATTTATCGGCGCGTTGTCAATATGCGTTCGCTTTTTCTTCCTTCGTTCTTTTATTTTTTTGCACGTATCTTTATGCGAGGTCTCGAGGCGCTTTTTCTCTTATAGATTATCGCGCCGTCTTCGAGACGGCGAAGGCGAGGAAAAAATTTATCGATCGCGAGTGAGAGTGTGAAATTTATTCATTGTAACCCGTGGTCGTCGTCCGTGTAACGCGTACATACATATATCGCGCGTATTTTGACTGACACCGCACGAGTAGAGCGAATTTTTTTCCCACATGCCCCGCAATTAAATGAATCAATTATTTTGTCACTCTTTCGCGACAGCAGCAGTAGTAGCAGTAATTTTACTGCCAATCGAGCGCGAACGAGCTCGAGAGAGAGAAAAACTTCTCTTTCTCGCGGCGTACACAGCCTTCGGTGTCGCGCGAATTCACGGTAAATAATTTTTTCCCCCTTTTTTTTCATCGCACCAAACGAGATGACAATTTTTTTTCACCCGCTTTTAATTTACTCGCGAGTGTAACGTATCATTTCAAGCGACACTCATTACATGTACATACGCACGCATGTTTTACGTGCGTTTTTGGTTTGAATATTGAAATAATTGCACAATGCGATAGTATACAGAAGCTTAAGGCAGGGTATTAACGTAAGGATATATCAATCGATACATAAATTCTCACCTCTGCACATTTAATCTCGAAGTATTTTTACGTTCTATTCAATCGAAAAATAACAATCAGCTGAAGCCACAAACGAACGCGTCACGCATCTGGATACACACACACGTCATTGATTCCGACAGTAATAGTTTTCGCAGTACTTATATAATCGACAATTACAGTATCAATTCATTTGATCTCAGATTTCTCTCTCTCTCTCTCTCTCTCTCTCTCTCTCTTTCTCTCTCGGAATCCTACCAGAGGTGATTATAACATTGTTGCAATTAGGTGCGTAAGACTCGTGCGAAAGATTACCGATGTACGCATACATCCTACACGTGTACTCACTGTAAAGATACAACTTTTCATGCTGCTAGTCCTCTCGTCATTT